AATTTCATGTCATTAGCACCTCTAGTAATATATTTACTGAGAAAAATGGTGACGTGTTCAATACTTATTTTACCCGCTGTATATATATTTTAAGTTGTAACAGCTCACTTATATACCACAATATACCACCCTGAATTCTTAACACCTGTTATACCCCCAAAAAGCTACTATTGTTTTGGAAAAATAGTTGTCAGAACTAAGATTGTTCTGCGTGTTCTGATTATTGTGGATGTTCCAGTGTTGGAAATGTACTGTTTTGGAATTGTAATTAGTCACATTAAATTTATTTTGTTATAATTGTGTAACTAATTGGATTACTTTATAAAAGTAATTTAGTTACTAGCGTCCTGATGCATCTCAGTAATCCAGGTAAAAAATTAAATAGAAAAAAATTGTATAGGTCTTCTGGACGGGTTCTTCTCTAATGAAACGTTTCGTCTCTTCTCCAAGAGACTTCTTCAGTCTGAGAGTTTCAGGCAAAATTCAGGCTTTTAAGCCCTGCCTCCATGTGACTGATACTCACATCACATGGCTATTGTTGACACCTTAGTTACTAGAGATGGTTTAAATGGCTCTTTGAAGGGATCCGGATCTTGAGGAGCCGTTTGTTTCATAGAGCCGTTCAAAAGAGCTGTTGAATTTGAATGAGTCACATCATCATGTAGAAAAATACATCATCACGTACACCATACATGATGATGTCATCACGTTACGTGGGTGGAACCACGTGTTTTGTCAAGCAAAAACCCACTACCCTTTTCCTCCTGAGCTGCTGTACTCCATCGCTCTGCCTGTTTTCCGTAAAAAAGCAAAGCGGGAGCAAATGTCTCTGTGTTTTAAGGATGAAAAAATAAAGATTGTATGAGGAACAAAAATAATAAAACTACAAACGGCTCTTTACTTCCCACAGCTCGGCTCCTATCGTTTGTTGTAAGGAGCTGTTCAAAAGATTTGGATCGTTCGCGAACGTAACGCCTCTTTCAGTTACATTTTAAAGTCACGTGCACAGACGTGCTGATTCATGCACTCTCATTGACTAATCCATTTGCAGCAGTCGGACTGTCTCAGGGGCATCTTTGACATTTTGTCTGGCGTTGGGGGCTGCTGTGGTTCTATGGTAGGACTGTCGTCTTGTGACCATAAAATTTGGGTTCGATTCTCTGCCATGCCCACATGTTGCAGTGTCCTTGAGCAAGACACCTAATATCTAACTTATCCCCTTGGGTGTATCTCATGTGTGATGGGTCAAAAGCAGAGCACAGATTTATCCATTGCATGGAAACATACATTGACGATAATGCACAGCACATTTTTCTTCTTTGCTTCTACTGAGTGATGCCTCCTTCCTCCGTATGCGTCTCCAGTATTGCACAGTCTCAGCTCATATTTATGTCTGGTGTTCCCCCTGCCATTAAAAGTTAATAATGCTCCAAACAGTGTTTTTGAGCATTCTTCAAGTTTCCCAGTCTTTTGTTGCCCTTGTCCCAGCTTTTTTGGAACTTATTTCAGGCATCAAATTCAAAATGAGTGAATATTTGCATAAAAAATAATAAAGTTTGTTCATTTGAACCTTAAACATATTCTCTTTGTAGTGTATTCAATTAAATGTAGATTGAAAAATATTTGCAAATCATCATATTCTGTTTTTATTTTGGTTTTACACAATTTCCCAGTTTCTTTGAAATTGGGAAAACAGATACAGAGGTTTAATGGTTTAATTTGATAAAACTGTTTCTGCTATTTTAGGTGCAAGACTTCGGACTGCAGCATTTGTTTGGAATGAGAAGTCTTCGTCTGTTGTCTCTTGCAGGTAGGATTTTTTTTCTCTCCTCCAAACTGTTGGAAAATTTTTATTTCTTATTTATTTTATTGCATCAACAAGATTGTTTTAGATATTATGCTAACATGAAGATCTCTGAAGTTCTGTACTTTGTATGTGACAAACTGAGCTAAGATCACATCGCTCATGAAAGGTCAACAAAGTTACGATTGGAAAGAAATTGTGTGAGCCTCAAAAATAGGTTTTATTGATTAAATTGTGTGTAACTGTCACCCTTGCTGTTTCCTCAGGCTGCCCCCTGCTGACCACGACTGGTCTGTCAGGTCTCATTCAGCTGCAGGAGCTGGAGGAGCTGGAGCTGACCAACTGTCCCGGAGCCACAGCTGAGCTCTTCAAATACTACTCCCAACACCTTCCCCACTGCATGGTCATCGAGTAAGACCAACCAACTCTCATCTGACAGACCACCATTCTTCAACCCTCCTCCTCTTAAACATTTCCTTACAGTTTTCAAACAATCCTTCACCGCTCCTCATGGCCTGAACCCTCTCCTCCCCCAACACCCATTTGAACGGACGCACCAGCAGGCAGAGTGAGAGGCAGGAAGGCAGATGACGGTACGTGCCAGACCCAGAGGAGGATGGCGTTCAAGCCTCATTTGAGAAGATGCGGAAGCGAAGAGCTTGGCGTGACGTCTTGTCTGACCGCAAGTTTCTTTTTCATAATCAACAAAAGGTTTTCGATTTGCAGAAGAGAGCCTCTCGGAAGACTTTGATTTTTTTTAACTGAAAGGATATCGAAGAAAGAAACACGCAAGTCCAGATGCAACTAAGAAGAAAGAGCAAACGTGATAAAGACTTGTTGTTTTGGCTGTTTGAACTCACACTTACACACAGCAAACACTCAAGTCCTCAAGACCATACGAAGTGACACTTCTGAGCAACTTTCATCGCCCCGTGTAATATAATCGCTGTTTCACTCTATTTCTCAGAAGGTATCAAAGGTTTAGTTTTCTCTTGTTTAGAGGAAGATGCCACATGGCAGCTGAATGAGCAGGAAACGATTCAGGAGGTGAAAACAAAGAAGAACCATCTCGATCTCTTTTTCTCCCTGCTTCTGTGTGCAAAATGTATCATGGACTTGCAGCTTCCCATAGCTATGGGACATCGTCACCTTTTATCATTTCTGTTTTATCAAAGAATATAAAAAGACACACACAAAAAAAAAAAAAGATTTGAAAAACAACTGTTTACATTGGCTTATTTTGAGGGGAAGTTGCACGCTTGTTTGATTTGCTTGATTATTGCATTAGTTTGTCGTTTTCAAACTTGGTACGCGTTTATTTTACAGCGGTTGTAAATGGTGACGTGAGGAAAAGTGTGCAACATGATGGAGCAGTCAGGCTGATGGAAAGCAGACGATGCAGGGAGCCTCCTGTAAAGAAAAGGCTTTTTTTTTACTCACAAGATGACTAGAGTAGAATCACATGACACAAATTACAAACAAATCTGTTGTGGGGCTTTTGGTGAAGTCCCTTACAGCAAATAACGAAGTATTTAATATTTTCTCCAAACATACAGACACATAAGTTTGTTGATACCCTTCCATGATAATTAAAAACAACTGATGTGACAAAAAGCTCATGTTTTGTCTCATCAGTCTCAGAATGTTTGGGACTTGCCAACATGCACTTTGGTGAATTCATATCTGTTTTTTTATGTTTTTTTTTCTTCAAATAGTGCATCCCTTCTGAGTATGAATTAAATAGTGATGGATGAAAATCAAGCACCTTGACATCTGATGTCAGGTTGAATGGTTTTGGATGGTTTCCTTGGCTTTTTTTCTACCATCTATCTGATCAACATGGGGTTGCATTTCCTTGCGTCCATGTTCAGGGAGGTTGGCTATAGTTCCGTAAACCTTCGACTTTTCAATTTTATTGTCAGCTGTGACCAGAGAAGTATAAAGCTGTTTGAAGATGGTCTTGTAGTCTGTACCTTTATGGATATCTAAAATTTTCTGGTCTTCTCTGCTCCATGTTCAGTGTGGAGCACACAACCATGACAAACTGGTTGTTTGCTCCCTTTAACTTGGCTGAATGGCTGATGGAAAGTTTGAAGGTGACTGTGATACTAATTATCATCAAACAGTTAGCTTGAACCAGGGCTAATACGCAAAGATATAATTTCTTTAAGGGGACCAACAAACCTGTCTGTACCATTTTAGTATATCTTTGTATGAAAAAAGTCATATTTTTGTTGTTTACTCTGTCACATACTAAAGGCATGCAGATATATAGTAGAAAATTGATTTAACTGAATCACAAATAATGAAGTGTTGTGAGCTATAAGGGTACCAATGAATTTATCTGCTTCTGTAGGTGGAGACATCTAGTGTTTTTGTTTTGTTTTGATATTTAAAGGACACAAGAGCATCTGATAGTTTCCCATGACAGGAACAACCAGGGCTCATACTGTATCTCTTGTTATGTTTGCTTAAAAAGAACTTTAAAGCTTTTAGGGATTTTCTGAGCAACCCACAGCCAGAACCAAAATTAATAAATAATATTGTCTCAGATTTTTATATAATTATATAAAAAAGAAATATGTTTTAACAATTTTAATTTAATTGTTAAAATTTTTAAAACATATTTCTTTTTTTAGTTCTGAATACAGTTTTTTGTTTGATTACTGTAAATTATTTGTTTTAATTTGGAATTCCCCACAGCAAAAAGACACAAATAATGTGTAAACTTTAAGTATGACAAAAACAGTGTTGATAATAAATAATACTTGAACCCTAGATTTTTCAGCGGTCATAGTCCATACTCAGACCTAAATAAAGTCTTATCGCAACTTTATTTTTATGTATAGGGAGCTTGGGGGGGCAATGCCTCTGGATTGGCAGACTGGGGTGGTGGTTCCCCTTCTCAAAAAGAAATGACTCTCTGCAGGTATATTCAGGAGTGCTGTAGAAGAGAGTCCAATTGACGGTCAAACCTTGGATCAGGAGGAACAATGTGGGTTCCTCCCTGGCCGTGAAACACTGGACCAGCTAAAAAAATCAAAAAGAAAAAAATTGTGTAGGTCTTCTGGACGGGTTCTTCTCTAATGAAACGTTTCGTCTCTCCTCCAAGAGACTTCTTCAGTCTGAGAGTTTCAGGCAAAATTCAGGCTTTTGAGTCCTGCCTCCATGTGACTGATTCATCACATGGCTATCGTTGACATCTAATTAACACCTATTGTTAACAGGGGGTGGAGTGATACTGGCAATATCTATCAAGAATGAGAACATGATAGAGAGGAACGTTGGTTTGAGAGAGGAGTAAAAGAAGCCATTTTTGTGAAGAAAGACCGTCCATCATTAAACAGAGGTGGAGGCCTCCTTTTTCAGTTGTCCCCCTCCTACAGTGCTGCTATTGCCAGTATCACTCCACCCCCTATTAACAATAGGTGTTAATTAGGTGTCAACGATAGCCATGTGATGTATCAGTCACATGGAAGCAGTGCTTAAAAGCCTGAATTTTGCCTGAAACTCTCAGACTGAAGAAGTCTCTTGGAGGAGAGACGAAACGTTTCATTAAAGAAGAACCCGTCCAGAAGACCTATACAATTTTTTTCTTTTTGATTTTTTTACCTGGATTACTGAGATGCATCAGGACACTGGACCAGCTACTTACCCTCACTAGAGTTCTCAGTGGGGAAGAAGAGTTTGCCCATCCAATCTATGTGTTTGTTGATTTGAAGAAGACATTCAACTGTGTTTCTTGAGGTACGCTGTGGGGGATGCTCAGTGAGTATGGGATTGTGGGTCCATTGCTACAGGCCATTCAGTCCCTATGAATGGCGCACAAGTTAGGTTTGCATCGACAAAACAACTGTTGTCTGGCTATGTAAGTCAGGTCCCTTTGGGCTGAGAGTTGGACTCCACCAGGACTGCCTGTTGTCACTGATAGTGTTCATAACTTTTATGGACAGAATTTCTTGGTGCAGTCAGGGGCAGAGTAGTTTGGCTATTTGTTGATGATGTGGTCCTGTTGGTGTTATCTTGTTGAAATCTCCAGATCTCACTGGAGCAGTTTGGAGTCTAGTGTAAAGCAGCTGGGGGGAGGATAAGTACCCCCCAGGCCACAGTCCTCCATCAAAAAAAGCCCCTCTGGGTTGGGGGTGAGATGCTGCTTCAAGTAAAGGAATTAAAGTGTCTCAGGGTTTTTTTTTCACAAGTGAGAAAAGGATGGAGCATGATATTGTGAAACAGATAGGTGTGGCTTCTGTAGGGTTGTGGACTCTGTGCAGGGCATTTGTGGTGAAGAAGCAGCAGAGCTGCAAGGTGAACCTTTCTGTTTACTGATCAGTCTATGTTCCTCCCCTCATCTATGGTCACGAACTGTGACCGAAAAAATGATTGGTTCTTGCAAGTGGTCGAAATGAGTTTTCTCCTCAGGGTAGATAGACTGTCCCCTAAAGATAGAGTGAGAAGTTCAGTTATCCAAGAGAGACTTGTAGTATAGCAATGGAAGCTGCTGAAGCCTGAAAAGGCTGGAAGAGAGGTCTGGAAGAGGTTCTGCCCCAAGTGGAGGAGTTTAAATATCTCAGGGTCTTGTTCACGAATGAGGGAAGAATGGAGTGAGAGATTGACAGGTGGCTTTGTGCTGCGTCTGCAGTGATGCAGGCGCTGTACCGGTCTGTCGTGATCAAGTGAGAGCTGAGTCAAAAGACAAAGCTCTCGATTTACCAGTTGGTCTACATTCCTACCCTCATCTATGGTCACGAACTTTGGGTAGTGACAGAACGAACGAGATCGCGGAGACAAGCGGCCGAAACGAGTTTCCTTCGCGGGGTGTCTGGGCTCTCCCTTAGAGATAGGGTGAGAAGCTCGGTCATCCAGGAGGGATTCAGAGTAGAGCCACTGCTCCTCCACGTCGAGTGGAGCCAGTTGAGGTGGCTTGGGTATCTGGTTAGGATGCCTCCTGGACGCCTCCCTGGTGAGGTGTTCCAGGCACGTCCCACTGGGAGAAGATCCAGAGGAAGACCCAGGACACACTGGAGGGACTATGTTTCTCGGCTGGCCTTGGGATTCCCTCAGAAGAGCTGGCCCAAGTGGCTGGGGAGAGGGAAGTCTGGGTCTCTCATCTTAGGCTGCTGCCCCCACGACCCGATCCCAGATAAGCAGAAGAAAATGGATGGACAGACGGATGGGCGGAGGTCTGGACCTCCCTGCTCAAGCTACTGCCCCTGTGACTCAACTCCCTAATGAGAATACATTTCTGGCAAACCAGCTTTTTAAAAACTTTTTTTTCTCATTTACAGTAATTCCTGCATCTGGCCCATGGTATCCTTCTGCTTTTCTTTGCAGATTGATGTCACAAAAATAAGGTAGCCTACAGGTCTGAAAATAATAATACAGTGAATGGAGAAAACCATTATGGCTGTCACTAAAATGTATTTGAAATACATTCTGGACCTTTGTTAGATAAAATTTGTTTTAGACAGACCACTGTCCCAACACATGACCCATCATAAGCTAGGCTAAACTCAACAAGACCGTTGTTTTTCTTTTACTGTCTGTTTTGGTAAAACAACCTTTCAAGCCAGTGGTCGCACCATGTATTATTGCATTACAAGATAATGGAGGAGTCTACCGGTGAGCCACTGTCCTACTTTTTGCCTTGTGTGTCCTCAGATGTGCTGACTGCCAACTGAAGGAATTGGATTAGCGTTAAACAGTATTCGTTGTGCCAAATGCATTCACGGCAGCACATAAAATGTGTCCGGTTGCCTCGAGCTGATCGCTGACTCCGGTGAAACAAACTATACGGACAAAGCAAACCATGCATGTTTCTACTCGGTCTGCGTTTTTGCTTCAAGTTGGCTCATTTTAGACGTCGTTCAGCATCTCTTTGATGTACAGAAGTATATTTATTTATTCATGTATTTATTTATTTCGATTAATGTGTGTCTTATTTGCACAATTTATTTATTAAAGAGGCATTCATTAACAGTTTTGTTTTAGTTTTGGAAGTTGCTTTGAATATGAATTTAATTGAGATTTTTTTTCATTGATTGCTGTTTTTATTATTATTATTGTTGTTTTTGTTGTGACATTTCAGGCCCTCTGAGAAAATTTATCTACTTAACTCTTGAACACCAGTGATCATTAACATCAGTACCAGTGACTTCAGGTTTTTTGAACATTCATGATACACTATAGTATATTTTCCTGTGTGCAAGT